GGAAGGGAAGGGAAGGGAAGGGAAGGGAAGGGAAGGGAAGGGAAGACAGACAATCTCTGCTTGTAAAGATACACAGCCTTGGAAACCCAGTGGGAAGTTGCTGTGAGTTGGGATCAACTCAGTTTTATAGGAGAGGAGACTGAGGTTCTGAAAGGCCAAGAGGAACTTTAGATTCAGTGAGTTACTTGATAGAGCCCTGACTTTTAATACAGGACCATCTGCCGTTTAAAACTCTTCTGGCCATCGCTGTAGTCTTAACTACAGGTCCAAACTTAACTGTATGTAGGTCCAAAGACACATCAAATGCAAATTATGAAACAGCCCCAGGTTGTAGGCACTGCCAGACTAACTTCATTCCCGTGGCCTGTGTGGTGGCTGGCAAGGTAACTAGTCTCAACTTCATTCCCGTGGCCTGTGTGGTGGCTGGCAAGGTATCTAGTCTCCCAGACACTGACAAGGTCACAAAGTGATGGGATTGTCTGGGTTGCTCAGGGTTTGAATTTGGACCTAGGCTTGTCTGAATCCAGATTGTTTATGGAAAGAGCAAGGAGCTGGTGATCTCAGACCTGCCAGCTTCTGCTCAGTCCACCCCTTGAAAGTCAAAATACAGAGATTCATTCAAATGGGGAAAGGTTAGTGCTCACAGAGTCTGTGGAGCTGGTCCAGGGCTGTCCAGCTGGTGTGGAAGACTCAGCAGTAGAAACGGAAAACCTGGCCCCTCCATGGGCATACCGTCTGAGTCTAGAAATCCTATCACTGGCGTCCAAAGCTGGAGGCTGGCCTTGGGGCTACTGGACCATTCTCATAAATTAGCCCCAAACTTCCCCTTAAATAACTGGCAAAATAAGAAGGTCACCATTTTTAAAAAGATGAGGGAATGAAGTACAATGTGAATGAAGGGTAGTGTGAAACACAATGTGTATGAACTTTGTAAGCAAGCCAACATAAACTTAAAAAAATAATAATAAAATGAGGAGAGAGAGCTGAGTGCATCTCATGGACGCCCCATTTCCATTGTTTCCATAATGTTGAGATCGGTCTGCTACTGCACACAGTGGAAGGTCTAGGAAAGATTTCCTGTGATCATATATGCACGTGCAAGGGCACATGTGTAATATACAATCAGACACACACATGCTGCGGATGAGTCCCATACCAGGCACACTTGTGCACCCCTATACCCACATGTGCTCACACGTCCCATTGGAACACATGGGTGCGTGCACACAGGCTCACACACTTCATCTGCATATGCATTTACACACGTAAGTGCACATCCGCACGTCTTGACACCTAGACACTTCCAGGCGTGCGATCACTCACATCCACAACTTACACACAAGGGCAAGTGTACCCCACTCGCATACCCCTCATGTACACGAAGGTGCTCATCCTCTAAGCACACAGAAACAATCGAGTACGCACATACACTTTGTATTGGGATGGCCAAGACTGCCTTCATGTGCAGGGATCTGATAGACTCACAGGATTCCCTGCTAGGATTCATCACAGCAAAAGGGAGCAAAATTAGCAAAGGGAAGAAGTGCATGGGCCTGAGAAGTCCAGAGAAAACCAGGCACAAGTGCATGTAAGTTCTCTCCCCAGGGAGTCACCCAGGACTTATCTCCTTCAGTGTGAAACTATGTATCTAAAGTGTTGTCTTGTGGGGTAGCCCATTTAGAGGATTGATACCCGCTATTTCTACGAGGGACTGCTCACGTGGCACTCTGCCTTGTGTGTACCCAGATCCCAGACTCAGCATAAGAAAATCAGCATAAACCACATCACACATACAGTCTGCACACATCGAGCCACTCCGTAACTTCGTGAGACTTAGATTTTGGTATAAGGATCTGTTTACTGTTTTAGCATCTGGACATCAGTTAAGAGAAAGGAGAGGGGAGATCCAGGACCCATCCCCTTTCTTGTCTAGGGTAGCATGTGACCTTGCTCTAGCAACCTCCCGCAGCCAGGGTTGGTGCCAGGCTGACCCTGTGTTTTCTCTCCTGAAGGCAGTGTGCCCTTGCAGCCCTCTGTGACGTCCGCCGGTTCCTTAGTGAGGAGGGGGGACATGTGGCGGTGAGTGTGACACCCCAGTAGCAATTGAAACTGATCCATGGGACCCACACAGGGCTGCCCCTTTGAATATGTAGCAGATAGAAGACAAGGCAGAGCATGTGTGCCCCCAGATGCCCTGGGCCCCAGTCTTTGGGCACAAGTCCAGCACAGCTGTTCATAAGCCAGGGGCTGGGGCTGGGCCAGAAATTTCCCTCTGGGCTTGTGGCTGCATTAGACCCCGCTGGACCTCCATCTCAATACCCACATTGTTGGTTACCGCAGAAGTCAGGAATATCGTGTTACCAAAGTCTTTGGCAAATGTGATTTCTCCTGGTGTGCGGAGGAACCTTGCCCAGAATTTACTGGCTCTTCCAGGAACCAGCTGACATCTGAGTAAGGGAATTCCACCTGCGTATCAACCCATCCAGGCTGCTGGAAGGGTGGGCAAGGCTGGGACAGAGGTATCTGTGGGCAGGGGCCATACCTCAACCCAATCCAGTCAAACACAGGAGCTGTTCTTTCCTTCTGCTTCCTCCTGATGGTTCCTCAAGCTTCAGTCTGGATCAGTCACCCTCTACATCTGTGGCAGACCTGTCACCCTGGCTCCTCCTTCGTGGATTGACTGTCCTTCTGATCCCAGTTCATCTTCTTCCTTGATTAACCGACTTGTTTTGGTGAAGTGCACCCTCTGAGCAGAGTGCATGGGGGATACTTTGTGTGATCTCTTGCGTGTCTGGAAATATCTCTGGTTTTGTCTCTGCATTTGATGGTTGAGGATAGAATTCTTGGTTGGAAGTATATCGTCCTCAGAATTTCCATGACTTTGCTGAGGTTTTCTGACATGAGTGTGTTTGCACAGAAGTCTGATGGCGTTCTGATTTGCTAATCCTCAAAAGCTTCCTTGAAGAGGAGAGGGGACATCGTCTCCTGTCTCTACGTCACAAGGGATTTTTAGGGTGTGCAGAGGGACCCTAAAGGAACATGTTTAGCCTTGAGTAGGTTCTTTTCACCAGGGAACCTTTGTCTTTCAGAACCTGGGAATTGTCATGTAGTATTCTTTTATATTCTTTTCCCCCGATAATTAATCCTCCATTCCACATTTCTAAGCTACTTTTTCTACAACTCCTGGTGATTGCAGGCTAAGCTTGATCCCTAATTTTATCCCCTTCCCCTATTTTCTACCTCTTTCAGCTTTTTTGGTGGTGGTTCTGATTCCTCAATATTATCTTGAAAGCATTTGGTTGAAAGGAAAAAAAAAAGAAAATTCAAATTCCATGATTGTGTTTTAAATTTCCAAAGGTTTGTTTCTTGTTCTCTGAGTTTTAGGACTTTTGTTTTATGGTTACGCATCCTGTCTCTGGATGTTAACTGTAAGTGCTTTTTTAATTTAATTTAATTTTTTTTTTAAACTGTAAGTGCTTTTTGGCCTCTTCTGTTCCGTTTCCTCCTCTGTCTCCTTTCCCCCTGGAGTGTCCTGGCTGTATGCCCTTTCTGCAAAGTGATGCTGTAAGAGCTGTCAGGCCAGTGCTGGTGGGTGGGTTTTAGTGTCCTGTAGATGCTAGGCAGGTCTGTCCTAGAGAGGGTGAAACCAGGCTGCTCCTTGGAGGCAAGGATTTTGAAGCTCTGTCTCACATACTTTGGGCATGTTGCCAGGAGAGACCAGTCCTTGGAGATGAACTTCATGCTTTGGGAGGGTTAGTACAGGAGAGGAAGACCTTGTGGAGGAGAGGAAGCCCTAGTGCAGGAGAGGAAGCCCTAGTGCAGGAGAGGAAGACTGTGGCAGTGGGGTCAGATGTGTCAGAGATGGTGAGATTGGCTCAGAAGTTCAGAGCTATTGTTCATAGGGGCGCTATGAATCATATTCGACTTGACGGCTCATGAAACACAACAACAGAAGCTTAGGCAGGTCAGTGCCTGGCTGGCTTCGGTGAGGAAGGGCCCTGGGCTCCTGCTGCTCTGTTGCTTGTCCAGCTGTTTCCTTTGCACCTTTGCCTCATTATTCATTGAGTGCATCCGTGCCTCCATCTTTTGCAGAAATGGGAGTGCGTGCGCGCTAGTTGGCTTTGCCCCCTCTGTGAGCTCTTACATTTTTACTGTCTCCACCTCTCTGAGTCAGTTAGCACATGACAGTCTTGCCAAATCCACTGGCATCTCCCATCTGCTTCCCTTTCCTTTTCTATTCTCCCCATCCTTATGGTTTTATATGGTCTCTGCCCCCATTTTATTGGAGAGATAGAGTAGAACTACGCATGGGTTCAGCTTGACATATTTAGCTGGAAGTCCTGGTGGTCAGACCTGACTTGAATGTTTTGTGCAGGGAAGTACTGAGTGTGCCCTTCTGTGCTGGGTGTGCTCCCCTGGAGCCCAGGACTCCCAGATCCTTTGGGGTGCCCTCCTCATTCACACACTCCGCTCTTGCAGGCATGATGGTAACTGTCCAGGCAGGTGGCCCAGGCAGCATCTAGTCTTGGCCAGACAGCCAATCCCCAGAGATGTCCTTGATGGTACTCTGAGAGCCAGAGACTGACCAAACCCTTTATTTGGTCCTAGGTTTTTGATGCAACAAATACCACTCGAGAACGGAGAGAAACCATCTTTAATTTTGGGGAACAGAATGGCTACAAGGTGAGGCCTCCCAGTACACCTGGTTCAGGTTGTAGATGTCCCTTCTCTGGGGTCCCTGGGGTTCCTTCTACAGGTTCCTGGTATGAGCAGGACATTTGATTGGCATGGTTCCTGTGTGCTTTGGGATGAAAAGAATTGCTCTTTTCCCTCTGCTTGCGTTTTTCTTTTTTGGAGGGAGGAGGTGAGGGGAGAGTCTTGAACTAGATGGCATCTGATTTTTAACTCCTCAACCAGGTGTCCCTAGAGTAAAGCCCTCCAGGGCTCTGGGCTATTGGTCTGGATGCCTCTCAGTGGAGTGGGAGCCCCAGGGATCCAGGTCCAGATTTCTAACTGTGTCTGTGGTTCTTTCTCTCCTGCTCATCCTGACACCACTGGGCGGACAGACCTTCTTTGTCGAGTCCATCTGTGTGGATCCTGAGGTGATAGCAGCCAATATCGTGGTGAGTGGAGTGCCTGATCTTGTTGGGGCTATAATCAAATGAAGTTGGCATGTGACACTGAAGTCTCTTTCTAGGTTGGTGCGAGGGACTTAGTTGCCTTAATTTAACTTTCTTGAGCCTGAGGTTGGGGAAGCACTATTACCTCAAAGTCTAGGCGAGTCTGGTTGTTCCTGAGGACCACTGGTGTTGAGGGTGGTCTTCCAGATGGGTGAAACCATCTCTGTGTCATCCCTGGGACAGGAGAGACAGGAGCTTTGGCTCTGTGGTAAGGGCCATAATTTTATTTTAAATTTTTTTTTTTTAGAAAAAGACGAGAGCATACCACACTTTCTTATCTCCCCACCCCTCCATTTATCAAGGCGTCTTACACCTGAGTTTGAGAAGGGGCTTCCAGGCTCCTTGTCTTTCCAGCCTCATATCATCCTGAATCCACTAAGATGAAGGGTTTTAACCTCAGGGGGCTCAGTCATATCCTCCTGACACTAATATGAAAACTTGGATCAGGAAGCCACTCGACTCTTCCGAACAGGACTGGCCCCATGGAGTTTTATTCCCTTGAGCTCCTGGGTTCCCACCCAGCTTCCAGATTAGCCCAGTTTTTGGCTCCTGGCTAATCGGCAGACCCCACGTAGTAGTTTAGCGCCCCCCCCCCTTGGCTTCCTGCCTAGCCCCAACCCCTCTCCTTCCCACCCTCTCTTGTTTCTGGCCTCCAAGCCTGATGTGTTCTTTTTCTGTGTCTGGCTCCGGCAGCAAGTGAAGCTGGGCAGCCCTGACTACGTTGACCATGACAGCGACGAGGCCACGGAGGATTTCATGAGACGCATTGAGTGCTACGAGAACTCGTACGAGTCACTGGATGAGAACCTGGACAGGTTAGTGAGAAGTGCACCGTGTCCTGCAGCCGTGATGGGCAGCTGACATGATGGGCAGCAGACGTGCTCGCTGTTGGCCGCCTCCTTAGGCTTCCCAGACACTCTGCTCTCTGTGGCATTTCTGGTTGAGTCAGAGCCCCTGCAGCTCTGAAAACCCGAAGTGAGGTTTGAACACCTGCCTTGATGCAGCAGGGAGGGGGGGCACCCCAAAGGGTGGAGCCTGTCTGGCCTTTTGTGTTGCTTTCCTTGGAGCAGAACTTGTGGGCCAGCAGTGACTTGCAGAACCCCTGCTGCCTCATCCGGAACTCTGTGAGTCAAGATTTTCTCTGGTTCCATCAGCAAACCCAGCCCCAGTCTCTACACAGATGGTCTTCCCACAGGCATTTGCAGACCTTGCATGATCTGCTGTAAAGGTGCAGCTTGCTTTGGGGAAAGGGTGCCCAGACCTTCCCTCTGAATAGCAGTGCTCGTTGTTTGCTGTAGCCATTTGCCCCTTTCTGGAATGGAGGACCAAGCAGGAGTGAGTGTGGGAGGCCCTTTAGCATCAGCAAGAGTGTTCTGCCAAGGGTCTGAGAGCTGGGATCCATAGTAAATATTTAAGGTAAATGAAGTATCTCAGTTGCAAATGCTCCACTCTTCAGTGTGACTCAGTCACTATGCAGATAAATGGCTGTGTCTCTCTTCCCCAAAACTCACCTATTTATAAAGACTGTCAGTTGAATTTGGCTTGCGGGCTAACATTTGCCAACTTCTGCTTTACAACAGAAATAGGGCAGCAGTTATTTGAATCATAAGATCGGCTCTTGGTACAATACTACATAGTGGTCCCAAATGGTAATTATACAGAAACACAGGGAAGTGTATGTTCTATAACATTAAGTGAAAAGGTTTGGAATGTAAACTTATGCCTGGGTCATTTGTAATTACATAAAAGTAAATAATGCTATCAAAAGTCTAACCAAAGTATAAAAATCTAATGACTACTCCCATATGGGGAAGCAGTTTTTTTTTAGAAGAATCTCAGTGCTTTCCCAGATCTGAAATTAAATGCTTTAGATATTGGGGAGGGGGAATAAACAATGCATTTGAGCCAAGGAAAATGGGGCGCTTACTGCCTGGTGCCCCCTACCCAGCGCAGAAATTCTCCAGCCTCTGTGATGTGACTGCATTAACCCAAACCCACGTTTGTTCCCTTCGAGTCGATTCCAAATCCTGGTGACCCCATGTGTTAAAGGAGTGGAGGGGAGTCATCGAAGTGGCTCTGGATGGATGTGTCAGTAAAAATTGCCCCTGCTTTCCTGGTAGGCGAAGACACAGTCTTAAACCAACATCTCATGGTCCAGATGAGAATGCAAATAACAATATCCCGAGGTCCTCAAGACTGAACCAGAGCAACCTGAGAAACCGTCTTTTTCCTTTCGCTGCCCCTATGCATGTCCAGAGCAGGAGGCAGTGGCTAACTGGGTTTATCTGCTGTTGCCACTAGCACCATCCTCCTGTGCTTCTTGTCTACCTGTTACCTCATGTAGGGTGTAGTAGTTGCTCAGCCCACATTGGGTTCTAGGGAGAGGGTCACAGGGGGACAGAAAGGTCAGAGGTCTGGACAACAGGCCAGGAAAGAGAGGGGTGAAGCATTTACCAGCCAAGTCATTTCTGGAGAAAACTGTCTCTTGGTTCAACTTACAGCCAGTACGTTGAGAGCTCAGAAGTAAGTGAGAAAAGGGGTCTGGGGAATGCACGAGCGATGATGCAGTCTGACTGGCCCACCCCCTGGCTGTTACCTTCTGGAAGCATGATCATGATGCATGGTGATGCTTGGGCACCTCTCACAGGGTCTGTCTGTGTGTCACGGTGTTGGGTTGCTCTTCCCTCACCTCTCCCTCCACCCCATCACTCACACACACTGACAGGCCTGTGTGCCATCCAGCCTAGTGATCCATGCTGGAGGCTCTGCTGATTGCTGTGGACGTACGTGGGCACAGAGCACCAGAGTTCCTGAGGCTGGACGGACATGCCCTCTGTGCGGCACTAGCCGCACGCACTCACAGGCCTCTCTCTCTGCCTTCTCTGTAAAGGGATCTGTCCTACATCAAGATCATGGACGTGGGGCAGAGCTATGTGGTGAACCGCGTGGCTGACCACATCCAGAGCCGCATCGTCTATTACCTCATGAACATCCATGTGACCCCTCGCTCCATCTACCTCTGCCGGCATGGGGAGAGCGAGCTCAACCTCAAGGGCAGGATTGGTGGAGACACTGGACTGTCCCCTCGGGGCAGAGAGGTCAGTGATGTGGTCCGGTAGGGGCTCTGGGTGGCTCTGTGTGTGTGTGTACATAATACCATGTGACTAGGTGGATAAACTTCATCCAGCTTAAAACATTCTGGATCACACAGGGAGGCCATCACCAAGCACCAGGCAAGTGCCTGAGCCTCTGGCCTCTGTGTGAACTGTTGCTGACTGAATCTTTCTCATTGGAAACAGTTGCAATCCCAAGAGTGACCCAAGTCCTCACAGGGAGATACTGAGACCTGAGTGGGTGGGTGCGCAGCCTAGGACACATGGTTCAGGGTGGGGATAGGATGTGATGAGCTGTGGTTGGAACGACTGTGCTCAGGGTGTGAGGAAAATGTCCAGGACAGCGTTTGTGAGTGTGTGGCTGCTGTGAAGAGGTTAGCTCATCTGTATCAGAGTGGAGAAAAATATGGGAAAAAACTCAAAATCCTAAGAAAGACCAACCTGCTGGTCTGATAAAGATGAGCGGAATCCCCAAAACTGTGGTCCTTAGTCCCTCTTGAAAGCTGCAATGACGGTAACCCACATGATTCTGCTTTCAGCCAAATGATAGACAGAACTCTAAGGGGATCAATAACAATAGAGAGGAACACTCAATCAACCACTCAAGATCCAAAGAACGTCATTTGCTCAGCGGTGAGGTTCAGAAGTCAAGAAGAGATAGAAAAGAAGGACCAATGGAAATGGGAAACATAGGGAGGGAGTGGGAAGAATGCAAGGACAATGTGAGGATTCTAATGAGTGTCCTCAAACATGGTGTATATGAATTGTTAAATGGAAAACCAATCTGCTCCTTAAACATTCACTCAAATCACAATAGAAAGTTAGCAAGGAAGAAGAAGAAGAAAAGAGAGAGAGAGGTTAGTTCCTGTCTCCTCATGAATGTGGAATACTTTGAGGGCAGCCCCGTACTCTTGAGTCTAAATTTGCTTGTTTGTTTGTTTTAGTTTGCCAAGAGTCTGGCCCAGTTCATCAGTGACCAGAACATCAAGGACTTAAAGGTCTGGACAAGCCAGATGAAGAGGACGATCCAGACGGCCGAAGCTCTCGGTGTGCCCTATGAGCAGTGGAAGGTCCTCAACGAGATAGACGCGGTAACCGTTTTCCCTCTCTTCGTTTCTTTTATATTTAACTCTTTCTGACGTAGCCTTAACTCTACTATTTTCCCAGTTAACTCATTTTCTTAGAACCATCTATTCTTTCCTTGTTATTTGGAGGAAGGGCCACCAGGATGCTCAGTGGTAAAAAGGATGGTGAAATATCATCTCACATCCTCTGGGCATGTGAAGGGGCCAGTCCTTAGAAAAGGACATCCTGCTGAGAAAGGGGGAGGGTCAGCGAAAAAGAGGAAGACCCTCAACAAAGATGGATCGACACAGTTACTCCAGCAGTGGGCTGGAGCCTAGCAGAGCTGGTGAGAACGGTGCGGGGTAGGACAAGGTTCAGAGCTGTGCTGTAGAGGGTCGCTGTGAGATGTATGTTGGCACCAGCAGCCAGAAAATCAAAAGACTAATTGCTTTGGGAAAATCTGCTGTCAGGGACCTCTCCAGAGTACTGAAAAGTAACATCTAGAGACTAAGGTGCACCTGATCCAGGCGATGGTCTTTGCAATTGCTGTGCATCAGAGAACTGGACATTGACTAAGGATGACAGAAGAAGATGCCTTTGAGTTGTGGTGCCGGAGAAGAGTATTGAACATACCGCCAAGAACTCAAATAGGTCTGTCTTGGAGAGGGAAACCAAGTTTCTCTTTGGAGGCGAGGATTTTGAAGCTCCTTCTCATATATTTGGGCACATGGCCAAGAGGGACTGATCCTTAGAGAAGGACATCATACTTGGAAGAGTGGAGAATGACACAGGAGAGGAAGATCTCAGATGAGATGGGTTGATACAGTAACTAGGGCAGTGAGGGTTGGTGTGTTGGAATCAGTGAGACTGGCTCAGGACAGGGCAGGCTGCAGAGCTTCTGTATATAGGGTTGCAGGCGACTCAATGGCACCTAACAACGAAATGAGTTGTATATAGTTGAATCAGTGGTACCTAACAACAGTATTAAATTCTTTTCTTAAATAATTTATTATTTTTTTTGTGTGTGTACTGTCAAATCTGATCTGACTGGAACAGGAGGAGATTGCCTCTCTCGCCTTCTCCAGCAGAGCGTCTGGTGGATTCAAACTGCATACCTCTGAACAGTATTGAATTCTTACATAAAATTTATGTCTGTCTTAATTATGACAGTATTTTTTGTTTGTTTTGCTTTGTTTTACTCTATTTATTGGCTATTTGATTATTTCTTTTTTAAAAATTTATTTCATTTCATTATTTTTTGTGTGTACCGTCAAATCAGATCTGACTGATACAGGAGGAGATTGTTCCTGGTGGATCTGAACCGTGTACTTCTGAGATTGCAGTGCAGCTTCTTGCCACTAGGCCACCAGAGCTCGCCTGATTATTTCTTAAAAGGGCTTTAGCTTATTTTTTTAAATTGAGCTGTCTGCTTTTACCTACTGATTTTTTTTTTAAATTTTATTTTATTATTTTGCATGTGTACCATCAAATCAGATCTGATTGGTACAGGAGGAGATTGCCCCTCCTTCTCCAGCAGAGCATCTGGTGGATTTGAACCGCATACCTCTGGGATTGCAGTGTGGCTTCTTGCCACTAGGTCACCAGAGTTCCCTTACTTACTGATTTTTAAGAATTCTCTATATGTTGCCCTTCAACGAATGGTAAACAAAATGCTATATACATTCAAGGAATTATGGAAAGACCATGTCATATACATACAATTTAGCTATAAAGCGAACTGAAATTTTTTGGTATCTGTGCTGCTGAAGTGAGTATGGACTAAAGTTTTTTGATACCTGCCACCAAATATATAAACATTAAAAGCAATAATTTTGAATTAATTTATTTATTTTTCATTTCAATGAACATCTACAGAGATTTTGGGATTCCATTCATTCATTTGTTGCACTTTTCTCCCGCCCACCCCACCTCCACACCCCCCCATTTGCTCCTCTCCTTGAAAAGCAAAAGAAAAACTCCTTTAAAAGCAATTTAAAAAGTATTCAGTCTAAGACAGAAAAGTCAAAAGTTCTTTTAATTATGGATGAGAAGGTTTAAAGGCAGGGAGTTTAGCTAAATGGAAGTTAAATAATAAGAAGAGAAATTAGGAGACTGTTAGTACAATGGGAGAATGTAACCAATGTCATTGATCATTATGTCTAGACTTTGTGGAATGAGAGTGGGTTTTGCTGTGTATCTTTTCACCAAAACGAAAATTAAATATTAAAAAGGCGATTCTTTTCATAGATGTTTATTTCTGAGCTCTAGTTAAATTAACACATTTTCTCTTTTTAATAAAATTACGAGTTATGCATCTTATTCAGCACATACAGAGAATTTCCCCCAATTCTAGTGACTTTTTTAACTGGTAATTTTCTACGTAGTACTTGACATTTTCTATCAATTAGTTGTACATCTAACTTGAGACCCTGGTTAATGTCATCTTTGAGGATTTGATTATCTACTAGTGAGCAGTTAAAGAGTGAATCACCTTAACAGAGTCAGGGAGCAAGCTGACTCAGGAAAGTTTTGATCTTCATAGAAGCCACTCAATTTCCAGTTCTTCCTTCTTCTAGGGAGTTGTTGTTGTTGTTGTGTGCCGTCGAGTCGTTTGCGACTCATAGCGACCCTATGTACAACAGCCCTAAACCCTGCTCTATCCTGTGCCAATCTCATTGCCTCTGACACACCCATCCTGATTACCCCAGTCACTGAATCAATCCAACTCACAGAGGGTCTTCCCCTCCTGCGCTGTCCCTCCACTCTGCCCAGCATGATGTCCCTCTCCAAAGACCTGTCTCTCCTTACAACATTTCCAAAGTATGTCAGGCAAAGCCCCAGAATCCTTGCCTCCAAGGAGCAGCCTGGTTTAACCCTCTCTAGGATGAATCTATTTGTTTTCTTGGCAGTCCATGGTACATTCAGTACTCTTCTTCAGCACCACAGCTCAAAGGCATCAATTCCCCTTCTATCCTCTCTAGTCATTGTCCAACTCTCTGCATAACAAGTGATTGCAAAAACCATGGCCTGTATCAGGTGCACCTTAGTCTCCAGAGAGACACCGTTGCTCTTGAGTACTTTAGAGAGGTCCCTAACCGCAGACTTTCCCATCACAATACGTTTTTTGGTTTCCTGGCTACTGGTGCCAAGAGTGTTGACCGTGGAGCCGAGAAAACTAAAGCTGTGAACAATCTCAATCTCTTCACCATCCATTCTGATGCTACCGATTGGTCCAGTGGCGAGAATCTTTGTCTTCTGGACATTGAGCCTCAGTCCATATTGAAGGCTGCAGTCCTTGACCCTCTGCAGTAAGTGCATGAGGTCCTCCTCAGTTTCAGCGAGCAGGGTTGTGTCATCTGCATAACGCAGATTGTTGATAGATCGTCCACTAATCCTAACGCCACGCTTCTCCTCATAGAGCCCAGCCTCTCGGATAATCTGCTCTGCATACAGGTTGAAAAGGTATGGAGACAGGACACATCCCTGGCGTACACCCTTCCCAATTTTGAACCATGCAGTGTTGCCCTGCTCTGTTCTGACTACTGCCTCTTGGTCCAAGTATAGGTTTCGCATTAGCATGATTAAATGTTCTGGGATCCCCATTCTTCTCAGAGTCAGCCACAGTTTGTTATGGATGACTCCTAGGGAGTAGGGAGGCTTTAAAATTCTGACTGAAAACCTGTGGTACCTGAACTTTTGACAAGACTGCTGAAAACCCTGTCAAGCTTCTGTCCACTCACTCCTTTTCTCTGCTCTACCTCTCAGCCTTTCAGCTTCTACCTTTGAATTGGCAAAACCTCCAAGGAAAAGGTGATGTCACAGATCCAGTTCACTCTTTGGGCTTCCTTTTGCTCCAAGAGCTTGACTCCTTATGTCACCTCTGTCTTTTATGACATCAGACAGATTCTAAAAAACATGCTGTCTGGCTTTTCTGGTCACTGTCATTGGAGAGTGGTTGGAAACAAGATATTCCACCATTGTCTAAAGCCGAAGTCTCTGAGATTTGTAGCTTAGAAAGAGCCCCCTGAACTGGTGTTCCATGATTGTACTGGGGTGAGGTGAGAGGATGAACTGAAGAAGGGAGATGAGTCAGGGGTGTTTAAAGTGACCTGGTGAAGCTGATGACGTCTGGAATGGAGGTGGTGGCAGTGTGTGGCAGAGAAGTGGGTCAGTTTGAGGAATGTTTGTTCATTTCTTCATTACGTATTTAGATGAGTCTGCTGTATGCCAGGAATGGTGTCAAGTACTGGGACCTGAGGTCATGGTGGGGATTGGCTGTGTGGTGAGAAGGAGGGGAGCATCCAGGCTGACTGGAATGGGATCTTGTTGGTGAGGAAAGTGAGGCATCCACGTGAGAGGAAGAACTCTAGCTCTTTTGTTCACCATATATTAAGTTGAAAGGAAGAAATTCCTAGGAGCTGTTCAAGAGTAGATGCCCAGGAGACAATCCTACCTCTGAGGAGAAATTGAGGCTTGGATATCCTCTCATAGACATGGTACTTGAGAAGGTAGGAACAAGAGGAAGGAAGGATGGGGCTCAGGACACAGCCCTTGAGGCCCCACCATTTAGAGGACTACAGAGAGGGGTGACTAATAAAGTGGAAGTGAAACCAAGTGAGTGGGAGTCTCAAGTCAAGGCAGGGTCCACAGGGTGAGAAGTGAGACCAAGCTCCAAACTGACCATTGGAGGGTCATGACAAGGTCACTGGGGTTCTTGACATGAGCCTGACGCGGCTGATGCCTGATTGTAGTGGATAAAGGAGTGAGTGGGAGCAGGAGGCTCAAGGTCTAGGAAGCCTGGGCTCTGTGCTCATATATACTTGGCCACATGCTAATGAGGAAAGATTGTGTAAGACCAGTAGGACACGGGGTGATGCCCTAAGAGGTGGCCGACACCCAGGGCATCAGGAAGTGAGACAGTTGCAGTGAGTATGGAGAACTGAGTCTGGTATTCTTTTCACCAGAACTTCATGGAGGCATCTCCCTTTGAACATGAAAAGAAGAA